CGCGACGCCGTAACGTACCGTTTTACCGGTTACCGGTAGGCCCGACGTCCGCCGCGTCGGCGCGGTCGAGTGGGCGGCGGTGTGCTCGGTCGTCGTGTGTGTGTGTGTGTGTGTGTGTGTGTGTGTGTGTGTGTGTGTGTGTGTGTGGTGTATTCGCACGTGTGTCTCTGTGCGTACAGGGACTGTTGTGATATGCGTTGGGGGGCTACCATATGTTTGCATGTACGCATGCACGGGTGTCTATCATCTGCGACTGATACTCCTGGATGTGTTGCGCATGGGGTCGTGTGCATAGCCGAACGCATACTGAGGTGAGCCCATCTGCGAGTGATAAGTCAGATCAGTCCCATGAGCGTATGCCCACTGAACATCGAGAATCCGTGTGTATACATTCAATTGTTTCTCTGTGGACGTAGGTACAGGGGAATATTATCAAACCCTTCTGCTATCTATTGCCGCATGGACACACATCTGTCTGTGCGCGAAGCAGTGTCATATGCGACACATACACGTGCATGTTTCTTCATTGCTGAAACCCATCAGTGAGGCTAATGGTAGTCTTCAAGTTAATCGATCGGGAGATGGACTTAAGTACTGCTTTTCTGCTCAGTGCTGTCCGGAACAATGACTCAAAGAAACCCTTTTTTCCTCAGCATGGCAAACCAGTCCATTTGATGACCACAATTCATGGGACAACTTATATCTTCAAGTCTCAAGCCATATCTACTAACTGCAACACGACTGATATAGCAACGTATCTCATAGCGAGTGTGGTACCAAAACCTCACACCCGCCACTTGCCAACTGCAGGTCATTGTGCCGTTGTAGTATATGCATGCTCTTATGATATGATATCCTACAACAGACTACCACAACAATGCAAACTCACAGCACATCTGCTCACCAAAATGCCAGTGATAAAACAACCGTTCTCATGAACACTCTGGTACCCCCCCACCACTTGCCAACTGCAGGTCATTGAGCCGTTGTAGTATATGCGCTCTTAAGATACGATATCCTCCAACAGACTACCACAACAATACAAACTCGCAGCACATCTGCTCACCAGAATGCCAGTGATAAAACAACTGTTCTCATGAACACCCTGGTACTTCCCCCCCGCCCACCACTTGCCAACTGCAGGTCATTGAGCCGTTGTTGAATATGCGTGAGTTGAGGATACCTGACGTCAAAAGTCTCCGGACGGTGTCACCTGGGCTATTCCGATTGGTGGTTATTTCCGACACCCACGGCAGACCTGTAAAGGACCTACCCCCGGGAGATATCATCATACATGCAGGCGATTTCACCATGGTAGGTGATGCGTGTAGGTAGTCATGCAGTTCTATGCCATATTAGGATTATAAGGGCACACAGGGGATACCCATAGGTTGTAACTCAAGCATTGCCTTCTACGCATTCTATTTATCCAACTCAAGTATTGACTTCTATGCATTCTATTTATATAACTCAAGTGTAACCTATGCCTTTCATTTATACACCACAGTGTGGAGACACCAAAGAGGTCAAAGAGTTTGCGAACTGGTTTGGTGGCCTGGATTACAAGCACCGCATCGTGGTAGCTGGTAACCACGAGATCACATTCGATATCGAAGGCTACGAACAGCTGTGGCGGGATAAGCACAAAATGAAGGTACGTTCAATATTAATGGGCGGTCAACTCTATGTTTAACGTACACTTAACATTGAATGGTGAACTCTACACACTGAGTGCTCTCATTGCACACGGCTAATCTGAGACTGTGGCTATGCACAATACTGATATGAAGGACCGCACGACGCCGAATGGTCGTTTTGTATCATATTGTATCTGTTTCATTATATTGTACGTAGCGTAATGTGCAGCTGAGTACATTGGTGAAGTCTGAACGAATACAGCACACAAAGTGAAAGCACCCACATCAAGGCGGAGGGGCAAGAGTTTCTGCATCTGCATCACCCGCTTACGGCGGTAGTAGATTATACAGCTTGTTTAGCAGAGTTACATGTTATCTGCATCTGTAGATTGTAAACTTTGTTTAGTAGTTACATTTTGTCTGCATCTGTAGATTGTAAACCTTGTTTAGCAGAGTTACATGTTATCTGCAACTGTAGATTGTAAACCTTGTTTAGCAGAGTTTCATGTTATCTGCATCTGTAGATTGTAACCTTGTTTAGCAAAGTTACATGTTATCTGCATCGGTAGATTGCTAGGCTGCTTCCCTTGTTGTTTCAATGGCTGTGATCAGTGTATCGGGGTGCATATCGCTCAATATTTGCGTCGCAGTTACGTGTATGTACCGTTTCACATGTTCTTACACACACGCACACATGTATATGTTTATACCTATATGTATATGTATGTATATGTATATCTGCTCACGCAGATTTTGTCGGAAGCTCACATCCGCACACACTACCATAACAGATACTTTCAGATGTGTACACTCTCATATTCAATATCCGTATGCGCACACGCTTTCTCGATTTCAACTGACAGCGCCATCACAGAAACATTAAGAAATCATTGGTGGAGCACGAGGGTATCACTTACTTAGAGGATTCAGGCGTTGACATCAATGGCTACAAGTTTTGGGGATCACCATGGCAACCGAAGTTCTGTGAATGGGCGTTCCAACGGAAGAGAGGGAAGGCATTGAAGGTACGGTACTGTCTCACTTCGGGGGGCGGGGGGCGTCTTATGCTCACTAGAACGCCGCCTATATACTGGTGATAGGGCTTTTCACTTGCACGCCTAGAATAGTAGGGTTCCGTTGCCCTGTACACTTGATGGGTGGACTTGCCACTGCGGCGAGAAGCCTTGTGGTCGTACAATACACGCACTCATGCGGATGCGTTGAACATCATCGGACCACTGATTCTTTTTACCTTTGGCCCGCAGTTTCAATTCAGTATCATTTTCAGTTTCAGTACAGAAACCCTGATGTATAGGTATTCATCATCATCATTTATTCGGCAATTCGCACATATTCTTCATCATCAGTCACATGGGAATATGCACATATTCATTATCATATGATATACGCGAGAGTAGCCAAGCGCGCGTCAGTCAGACAGATAGGGAGTACGCATGAGACCGCTCTACCAGTCTTCTGCAACCCACACAGAGGTGCACTCTCAGCACCATCCAAAGTATAGTATATACCTGCCACAGAATAACTGGGATACTATTACACACATATCTACATGATTGTGTTCATATTACTGTTAGTATATACCGGCCACAGAACAACTGGGATACTATTACACACGATATCTACATGATTGTGTTCATATTACTGTTAGTATATACCTGCCGCAAAACAGCTGGGGTACTATTACACATGATATCTACATGCTTGTGTTCATATTACTGTTAGTATGCGCCATGCCAACTAGAATAGCACTGCTCGAGTGTCATAGAATAAGTGTTATGCGTTATCCCACGGTGTAGATGTCCTCGGTACATACGCACACCTTTATCACATCGATGATTCAATGATTGTTATAAACCCAAACCACATTGTTACTGTCTGGTTGCCGCAACGATACCACACTATACAACTACCCTCACCACAGAAATATATTTACTCATATTGATACCAATCGATTCTAAACCTAGTCAAAGTGATACCGCCTCTGAGCAACAGAGCATCTGGGGAATGATACTCCACAATATAAATACCCTCAATACGCCCATACATCTATCCGTATGGATACTACGATGATTTTTCCTACCTACCAAATTGTCACCGCCCCTGGGCCGTAGAACATCAGAGAAACGATCCCCCTCCATTTAACCATATGCATATTGTCAGTTTCTAACCCTGATCCAATTGATACCACATTACACACACGCCTCTCTCTCCATCGATATTTCAATGATTTTTTCTTAACCCTGATCCAATTGACACCACATTACCCACGCGCCTCTCTCTCCATCGATATTTCAATGATTGTTAATAATCCTGATCCAATTGATACCACATTACACACACGTCTCTCTCCCCATCGATATTTCAATGATTGTTAATAACCCTGATCCAATTGATACCACAATACACACACGTCTCTCTCTCCATCGATATTTCAATGATTGTTAATAACCCTGATCCAATTGATACCACATTACACGCACGTCTCTCTCTCCATCGATATTTCAATGATTGTTAATAACCCTGATCCAATTGATAACACATTACACACACGCCTCTCTCTCCATCGATATTTCAATGCTTGTTTCTTAACCCGGTCCAATCGATACTGCTTGTGCGCCACAGAGTATCTGGGATGCGATACCCCGCGATGTGGATGTGCTCATCACGCACAGTCCACCCGTAGGCATGGGCGATCTCACTACCAGGAAGGAACGCGCGGGCTGTGTGGACCTGCTGTATGCCGTGCAGAAGTAAGTTCATGTGGCCACTCCGCTTGATGTGTATGCTAATGCGCAAACGGTGCTGTGGCGAGGTATGGTGTCATGTGTGAGCCTAGACATGTTGATATGTTTGCTGGGGTGATTATGGGCTGTGTGGACCTGCTGTATGCCGTGCAGAAGCAAGTTCGTGTGGCCGCTCCGTTTGATGTGTATACTTGTACGCAAACGGTGCTGGCGAGGTATAGTGTCATGTGTGAGCCTAGACATGTAGATATGTTTGCTGGGGTGATTATGGGCTATGTGGACCTGCTGTATGCCGTGCAGAAGTAAGATCGTGTGGCCACTCCGTTTGATGTGTATGCTAGTGCGCATACGGTGCTGTGGCGAGGTATAGTGTCATGTGTGAGCCTAGATATGTAGATATGTTTGCTGGGGTGATTATTAACGCGTTTGCTATCAAGAGTGGTTAGTTCTTGTCACACAGAAGATGAAGGTGTTCGTGCAGGCTTTGTTGTCTGCTGATTTATGGATGACTATTTATAGCTCCGCCGTATTCCGTCATCTGTACTACGCTTATAGGATTGTATTGGTTTGGCATGCGTGTACATCTCACAAACTCTCACAGCCAGCTCACGCCTAGTTTATTTAGTTAGGCCCTTCTACCAAGGCCTAGTTTATTTTAGCATGGCCAAGATGCCCTTCGACCACGGCATACACACCAAGAGTTTACACACACACCACACACACGTGCGCGACAATTTGACGCTTCGGGGCTCACGTGTATCTATTCACCCGCGTACCACTCCCAGGCAGATCAAACCGCTGTACCACCTCTTTGGCCACGTGCACGAGGGCTATGGCATGTGGTCTGACGGGACAACTGTGTTTGCCAACGCATCCACATGCAACCACCGCTACCAGGTGGCCAATGCACCCATAGTCTTTGACCTGCCCTACCCCGTGGAGCCCATGGCCATGTCCACGAGTGCGGATTTGGGTACGGGCAGGGAAATGGACAGGGCAGAAAGATTAGGCTCACAGTCGACATCGCGGGGGTCGAGTGCCTCGTTATCGGGGACTGGCCTACAGGAAACGCTGGTGAGCAAAATTGGTTGTTGATATGCGTTTGTGTGTCGTGCCGTTGTGATTGTATATATATATATATTTATATTTATATTTATACATATATATATATATATATATATATGTGTGTGTGTGTGTGCGCGTGCGTGTATTTGATACACACATCTGATGGGAGTAGTAACTTCATGGATACGACATGATCGCACATTTACGCTCGCAACTGTACAGTAGCAATTCCCATATCGTTTATCTCAACATTTCCATCAGACTAGCCAGAAATCATCTATTGCTCACCATTCAACCGACCACTGTATATCTCTTCCTCTTGACATCATATTGGCCAGAAAATAGATACGATACTGTCACTACCACACATTGTGAACCCTAAACCGTAAAACGCATTGAATACGGGCTAACTGTACGCTGTATAAGCCTACTATCCAGAAAGCAGCCACGATACCGTACCTACCAACCCACATCTTACAGTCTCACTAACCGTCGACCATGTATATGGCTCACTCTCCGCAGCCAACGAGGCACTTCATAGCCGTCATACTGTCCCTATCACACGCGCCACACTAACCATCTGTCAGACTGTCCCTATCACACGCACCACACTAGCCATCTGCCATACTGTCTCTATCACACGCACCACACTAACCATCTGTCATACTGTCCCTATCACACGCACCACACTAACCATCTGTCTGCTGTCTTCCACCTCACAGCTGGTTATCCAGCGATCAGCTACATCCTTGCGTGCGCGAGCCGCGAGTGCCGGTGGAGACACGCCCGGTCGTCTGTCGCCCATTAGACAGAAGACTGGCGCACCTTATATGTCCAGAATAGAGCAGTCCGTGTACTCCGTAGACGCCCCGTTTACGGCAAAGACTGAACAGTCGGTCGACTCGCCTGAGGTGACTAAAATAGAACAGACGGTGGACCTGCCTGCTGTGCCGACCAACGGCGAAGCTACTGGCCCCAGTGCAAACACCGCCACCATCACAACGACTGTGACACACACCGAAACCACCACCACCACCACCACGGAGAACAACACCGAGGTGACCAACGCCAACACCAACACCACCATTACACGCTCACATACACACACGCACACACCCACGCCCGCACACGCAGTAGGTAGTCCCGCGCACATGCACACCAATGGCAATACATCTAATACAGTGATGGACAGTCTGACGCCAGACACGCGACGCAGAAGCCGTCCACACTCACCGCTGGCGCGTGTGAGAGTTGCGGCGGTGCGCAAGTTCTCGCTCAGCAGCAAGCGAGCGACGTACCCTGATGGCACACCCAGAGGCAGCACCAGTAACAGCCCAGGGTCAACCAGAGGCACCTTGCCGCGTGAGGGGATTGGTAGGGACGATAAAGGCCTTGCACGCAACTATAGTGGCGGTAGTAATATTATTATTCGCAGCACTCGAACTCAGGGTAGTCCGAGCGAGGGCAAGTGGCGAAGCAAAGGGAAAGAACTGGCCCAGAAGATGCTGGGAAGGCGGCAGAGCTACGAATCTAATATGAATGGCTCAAACCAGACACTTGGCATAGACGACGCATACCGTGGTGTACGCAGACAGGTCAGCTCACCTGTTGGTAGTGTGGATGGGCTGAGGAAGGTAAAGCCGGACGGATCACCCCTGGACGGAGATTATGAGGAAGATTAATATATATATATATATACATAAGCACGCATATACGTATATGTATATGTATACATATAGAATTTTAGTGTGTGTCGCATTAAAGTTACAATTAGGGAATTTAGATCGCGTAGTGGATCTAGATATCACTAGCTATTTTTATGTATATGAATAGCTGCCGTTGTAGTAAGAGACATTTCTTACACTTGTAGAATATGAAGTTAGATTGTATAGTAGCGTGTGGTATGTCGTGCATCGGTGAATGATACGAGGTGGAGTTCGACGGCATACCCTTGATATTGGGGGGAAAGGAGTTAGGGATAGTTGTCAATTAAGGAGGACCGATCGACTATTTGAAAGAGAGCGATGAGTTGGATCTTGTGGATGCATGGTTTGTATCTCTGGCGACTTAGATATGACGGTGCCTGCAGAGAGCAGTCAAATTCTGTAGGCGGTGCGATGATGGTCGATGGTTATGTAATCAAGTGGCTTGAGCACTCACCGCACAGCCAGAGAGGGCTGGTGACAGTTGGGGTCATGGTGTGGTAATGGTCAAATAATGAGGACTGATGAGAGGCACTGCGAGGATGTGTGGCTGACGGGCCTCAGTGATGACGAATAGATCAGCAGAAATGGTGGGAGCATGCACCGGGACTCCAGAGAGTGCGAGAGCCTGATGTGGGTGTGTGCCGTGATGGACAATTAAACAGGACTGGCGGCAGTCTGGCACTGCGATGGTTGAGTGCAGGTGACAAGGAGTCTGTGTGGGCGCTATTGCGAACGGAGATGGGTGTAGGCATGCCGGGGTGTGACATTGCAAGTACTGAATACTATGTCTTACAGGCCGCTTACAAATTAGTATGAGGCATGGTTGCCATAGGAACCATATTGCGGCACTGTTGGACATAGTGAGCAGTTTCGAAAAGCCTGGTGCTGAGATATGTTGTTGAGTCGATATATGATCGTTGTAGGGCCTGAAATGGATGATATGTAGGACATGTGCGGAGATTTCAGGGACCGAATACGTTAGTAGTATAGGATATATATATATATATATATATATATGGATTTGCAGGGGTCTGACCAAGGTATCGATATATCGATGTAAAACGTCTACGGAAATTTCAGGCTCTGAATAGATTAAGCTGCGGTGCGTCCCAGCGAAGCCTCCGATGAGCCAGGAACACTGCACACGTGGGCGTACACATGGGATCTATGCAGATTTTATTTAGGGTTTGATCTGTGTGGTTGGCGTTCCGTGGCTTAGTTCAAGCCGTTCTGTGGGATAAGCCCAGAGCATCGCACCGGCCAAATCGGGTCCTCATCAGAACAAAGTGGTGCGTTCAATGCCAACACCACCACCACCACCTGTGCATACGACACCAAGGCACTCGAGTCCAACCCGCCAGTGGCTAGTATGGGTTACACAGGCATTGCCCAATAGGCGGGACTGTTCCCTTTAACAACTGCGTGCATATTGCCGCCTCTACAACACACTCGCTGCCTGTGGGATGCCTAGCTTGCAGCTCTACATGACCTACACTCAAGTCTATGTGGTGTAGTGCACGAGAAAATCTCCCAGTGCGCACACCCTGAGACATAATCTTCGTCCACGGATCATCTACGGGTGGCAGCCCTTCCTTTGTTGACCACGGTGGGGTGTTTAACGAGTTCCAAATTTCTGGGTCATGCCAATGCGTCTGGAGCGAGCATAGGTGCTATAATTGTGCCACCACCGTACATTCAACACCTACCGAAGGCAAACGATTGAGTCAATATCGGCGCGTCCTCTCCCCGGACTCAGTGCGGGCTCGAAATGAGGTACTGCATGTGAGCTTGGTACGAACACCTAACGCTGTGTTGGTAAGGGTTCGTGTAGTACCGTGCCAGGCGGAGACGGGTCTCGAGACTAGTACACGTATACGTACACGCACAGGAGATCATAAGTAGTTGTCTGTTAGAATATAAAATATGAGGCGGTCGCGCCATGGGGCATACGGTTTAGAATATATTATTGAAGTGGGAACAAATATGTACTAGTCCAAAAAGAGGAGCTTGTGTGTTGCTGTACACCATTTTATAACAGACGAACAACCTTTTCTAAGGACGAATTCAAAGCTTGGTAATATAACCATTCTATAAGGAGGGTCGGTAGATATAGGGCCAGACTACTGTGTCCATAAGGAGTGTCGGTAGATATAAGGCCAGCCTACTGTGTCCATATGGGTAGATTTAAGGCCAGCCTACTGTGTCCAAAAGGAGTGTCGGTAGATATAAGGGCAGACTACTGTGTCCACAAGGACTGTCGGTAGATATAAGGCCAGCCTAGTGAGTCTCGTGCATGTATGTCACGTTGGGGGAAGGTCGCGCAAGTCATGGGCAGTCAGTCACAAGCCACGGCAGACGACGCATGACATATGCGATTTGGATATGCTCATATGTTTGCCATCGGCGGCTACCTTGGTTGATTACAAGGACTCTGTAGATCTTCAGCCAGTACTCGCCCGTGGTGAGCGAACTGGTGGGGCTGCCCAGAAGATGTGCACTGAGAGCGGCTTTGACACCGCAGAGAACACAGCTGATGCCATGCTCGATTATCTATATTTAAAGTTGTAAATAACTAGTAATTCAAATCTAATACGTGTGCTGGATAAGTTACTTCAGTATATAATCTGTGCACCTTCAGAAAGCTACCTACCGGACTACAAGATACAGTGGCTGGTAGTGACTAGTAATTAAAATCTAAGGCGTGTTCTGTACAAGATATGCTTTCAGAAAGCAACCTACTGAAGACTACATTAGTAATTAAAATCTAAGGCGTGTTCTGGATAAGTTACTTCAGTATAAGCCGTGCACCTTCAGAAAGCTACCTACCAGACTACCTACTACAGTGGCTGATAGTGACTAACACAAAAGGGTTCATTTAAATTGTTCGTAGAGTAGGATACCATCACTGCCACTTTCCCCTTGTGGCGCCAACCCGGTAGGCGGTGGGTAGTTAGTTAGTGAGTGAGTGAGTCTGGGCATGGCCCTCTGGATTAGGGTCTCTGCTAAATTTACGATTTCCGTCGTCGGGAAGAAACCTGATTTCTGCTCGCGACCCTATTCCAGGGGGCCGTGGTCTGGGCTTCAGTTTGTGCCGGCTTTCAGCTGAAGACTTAAAAATACGTTTTAATATGCGTTATTGCGCTATACGTATTGAGGCCCGCGCGTAGCTCGCTGCCTATATACCCCACCCGCTCTCAGACAAGTCAAAGCGTTCGTCAGACATGAATCTAGCACTTAGGTATCGCAATTTAATGATGTGAGGTGTCCATACCCTTACGAAGGACGCTACGGATCTCACACCGACAGCATTCCCAAACTTTGCAGGAGATGCCGCAGCGGTT